TTGGAAATAAATAAAAGTCACAAGGTCGGGACTGCACGCGGGATGGCTCATAAGGTCAACGTTGTTCACCTTCAAAAATTCATTTGTCTGTTTGGCCGTGTGAGAATTGGCATTATCGTGGTGCAAGATGATACGGCGATTACGGTTATTTTTACGGAGTTTGTCAATAACTTCCGGCAAACAAATGATCGAGTACTCAATCACTATTCACAGTACAACGATTCTCTAAAGCAACAGCAGCCACGTATCAAGTTGTATTAAAAAAAGAAGCAATCATCCGCTTAGAGGCACTTTGCACGCGCGCCACTTCCGTTGGTTTCGGCACATCTCGAAAGAGCCATACGCTTGATTGCTGCTTTGTTTTGGGATCGGAACTATAAATCTATGTTTCGTCACCTGTTACTTATACCCCACACCAAATTTGACGCCCCTTCTTTGGATCTGGTAAGCATGGCATTGCACCAAGTGACGCGATCCGTTTTTGAGCCTCACTCAAATTGTGTGGGATCCACCGAGAGTACAGCTTTTTCGCACCCAAATGTTTGTGTAGTATATTGATTGTATTTGACTCATGCCTATGCCTAAAGATGCCCGAATCTCAGGGTAACCTATAGTGCGCCCTATGTACTCCCCCACTTTTAAAATTTAGATTAAATAAAGCTGACTTATCATCTTTTTCGAAGGAAATCAATAATAATGTGGAGTCCCCCCTGACGTGGCGGCGGACAGTCTTACGGCATACAGGGCATTCAAGGAAACCCTTTTAACATCAGCATACACCAACATCCCTCAAAAACTAACAACGCGTAGGATTTTTCTTCCGTGGTGGAACGCTGATTGCACGGACGTCATCCGTAAAAGGAAGGAGGCAGAATAGAAGTACAATGATTTAATGTCTAAGGGAACCTCCTACACTACAAGTAGGTAGCGGCCCAATGTAGAAAGGTTCTGGCCCCAAAGAAAAACATGGCTGGACAAATTTCTGCGATAGCATGTCACCTCGTACTCCATCATTCGTAGTCTGGAGACAGATTCAAAGATTCCGCGGCTCTCTACGCCCTAAAGGAATCACCACACAACGACCCTTCAGGTTGGATTCACTCATTCGCGGACAAGCTAGCACCTCCATCAGTCCCAAACAAGGACAATCTCCCGTTATATACTTTCACCTATATCTCTGCTTCTAAAGAACTAGATGGTCCTTTCTCTCTACTGGAACTGAATATGGTACTAACTGGGCTTAAGGATACTGCTCCGGGAATAGATGGCATCCCATATTCATTCCTCGTAAACTCTTCAGTAAAACAAAATTATACCACCTAAAATTAGTTAATACCTTTTTCGACTGGGTATTATACTGGATTAGTGGAACAAACAAATTATCATTCCTCTTCTTAAGCTCGGCAAAGAACCCCTCGACTGCAATTCGTACAGACCCATTGCCCTATCTTCTACCCTATTCAAAGTGATGGAACATATGATAACTTTCAATAGAGTAGAAGATAGGGAAAGGCATAATCTATTGGCAAAAATGCAATTCGGGTTCAGAAAAGGATCCAGTACACTAGATAGCTTGAGTATCTTAACCACAGATATTACTTTGGCGTTTTAAAAACAACAGTATGTCGTAGGCCTGGATAAAGCAGCCGCCTACGATAACGTCCTTCTTCCGGCGCTCAGAAGTAAGCTACTTCAGCTGAGTGACCCTGAGAAGTTGGTGCGCTTTATTGTTAACTCGATTTCAGCAAGATCTATCGAAAAACGCTGCCATGATACTTCTATTTCTCCCCTATCTGTCTGGAAAGGTCTCCACCAGGCCTCCGTACTTAGCCCCCTTCTCTATAATGTTTACATGTTGGAACTGGGAAGGTCAACTCGTTCTGCCAGGTCCTGCAGTATGCTGTCGATGTAGCCCTGTATGTAAGATCAGAATCAGTCCAGGAAGCATCATCGCGCCCCACTTCGGCCTTAACCTATCTGAGCGATTTGGCTAGCCGAGCATGGCTTGTCATTGTTCCCAAGTGCTGTTGTGTTGTATTCTGTAGAAAAAGGAATGTCCCATCCTCCTACATTCTATGTTACGGTGACTACACTCCCGTAGATATACATGTCAAATTCTTGGTCATGTTTTTGGACTACAAACTATATATAAACGTGGGATTCAACACTTTTACTACATCGTGCCCTCGCGGGTATTTGTTGGGGTGCACATCCTTTTTTACCCAAAAACTGATATATAACGCAAATAGTCCGTAGCCATTTGGATTACGGCTCCTTCCTTTTGGATCCATGTAATAAATGAGCTCTGGATAAAATAGTTAAAATACAATCTAAATATCTTCGCATAATATTGGGCGCCATGAAATCTTCCCCGATTAATGGACTTCAAATCGAATGCGTGGATCCTCCCCTTTACCTCCGTAGGCAATTCCTCAGTGACCGATTCTATATTAAAGCAGTGCAACATGCTTCTCACCCCATTCTGGAACGGTTACAGATTTTGTCGCAGGCGACGAGGGAATTTGTTAATTCTAAAACTCCATGTGCTTAAACAAATTCCGGAAACCTTCTCTGCCCATAGAGCAGTTCCCTCCTCTCCCAATATTTAGTAATAATTTTAAATCGCTAATATTTAAACCAGATGTCATCCTCAATTTTGGCATTAACAAAGATTCTCCTCACGCATCTAAATTGTTAACAGAAAAATTAGGTACCAAATACGAAGGCTGACTCCCGATTTACAAGGGTGCCTGTAAATTGCAAGAAGGTGGTGCTGTAGGATCAGCCGTATGGATACCTACCTACAAACTACTCCTTAACTATAAACTCCCCCCGCTAACAATGTGTCTAATAACGTCTGTGTTTACCGGAGAAGCGGTCTCTCTTCTTGAGGCAATCCAGTTTGCTAAATCCCATAATTTGTGTAAAACCATTATCTTTACTAACTCTCAAAGTTCTCTTCAGGCAATATTAGCAAATCCGTTCCGCTTTAAAAACAAGTCCCCTACGATTTTGAAAATTCGAGAAGAATTGTACCGATGCCAACCTAAAACACTTAGCACTATCCTGGTATGGATCCCAGGGCACTGCGGTATTCCCGATAACGAAACTGCAGACTTACGTGCTAAACAGGCCATCACCAGTGGCTCCCTGATCTATGGTAAGGTTTTCCACCATGATCTCCTCACTCTGACGCATGACCATCTACTGAGATCATGGCAAGTCAATTGGCAAAACACTAGAAACCGGGCAAGTAAACACTACTACGAGATTCAAAAATGTATCCCAAACAGGCCCTGGTTTTTTAAACAAAAAATGTTTAGTAAACAAGCCGTATCCACCATCTGTCACCTAAGATTTGGGTATGCATGTACACCTGTCCATCTTGCCAAAATCAGGATAAGAGATACCTCTCTCTGTGAGTGTGGCGTTGAGGATGGCACCACAGATCATGTTCTTTTTAAGTGCCCTAAGCTGAACGGTTCTCTCTACGATTTACTACCTCAAGATGTCCCTCGTCCAACTAATATAAAATGCATCCTCGAGATGTCCAAGCCTTTAAAATTCTAAACAAATTTTTGGGCAATAAATCAATTGTTTATTTATTTTTAATTTCTTTTATAACCCCTGCCTATAACTACACTGCTTGCATTAATTCATTAATTTAACTAAAATATTTACTAACAACCCTGATTCATTAGACTATGCTTTGTGTTGTCCTGTGAAGTTGCAACTGTGTGCTTTGTTTTAGATAAACCCGCTTCGAGTCTCACAGACAGCAATAAGGGTCAAAATTATATAGAAAATAAATTTACTCCTCCCGTGTAGAGGCTACCTACGTGACATTGGCGGAATTGTGAAAAACACGGGGTCTACTCTCGATCTCCGTCCGACATCCGTCCGAAAAAATTACTGCCAAATAAGCAATACTTGACCAAATGAAAAGATACGAGATGCGAATGAAGCTTCGTACTGGATACATGTCTTTTAATTTTGTCGAATATTACTTATTTGACAGTAATTGTTTCGGACGGATGTCGGACGGAGATCGAGAGTAGACGCCCACAGGTCAAGCCACTAATAAATAAAGAAGAAGAAGAAGAACTATAGGTGTCTTTATGATAGGCCACTGTTCTAGAAAAGCAGATCCCATGCCCATGTATTATGAAAACCAAAATAATTCATTATACATATAATCTAGACGATTTACTCAGATGTATAATATTCAAATATATTACGTCACTTATCGGTATAAGATAAAGTGCAAACGAATTCAACTTTACCCAACTACACGGTAGCAAGAAAGAGCTGTAAGTTGCTGTTATTGAAATGTTTCCAGCCTCGAGTTGTTCGAATAAAAAGGTCTACCCTGTAGACAAAAGTTTCGTAGGAAGAGAAAAGAAACAAAGTCGGCTGATTGCTTTTTCAGCTGCCGTAAAACTTAGAAATTGTAGTTTAAAGCAAATTGTGGACGTTGTGTGTAGATTTTTTTACTTACTGCAATTTTGTATGGATAACATAATTCGTCAGTTCAAGGAGTTGTTTGTTGTAAGTATTGCAGAAAATAGCCTTTCAACCCTTGTATTGATAATCTAAATTTCACCACAGTTAGTCTTCTGTGTATGCACATATGACGAACCGCAACCACCAATTTTTCATGCATAGTTCGGTCATGTGGACGTACTAAGACGTTAGCAACTCACTGCTCGTTCTTGGACTATGGACACATCAGATAAATGCGAAGTTGCAAGCCTTAGTAATAATTGCAATAATCACTTTGTAGGGCACTGAAATGGGTAAATGGACTTATGGTAAGTGGGTGTAGACACTTGCAGTACTAAGGAAGTACGACATAAGATTTCAAGTATTTTGCACCTGCGATTCCGGAAGGTTTCCGTAAATAGGTCGGGTGGTGATAGGTAGTGGACTCTGCGTTTTAGATTTTGGCGTTGCAACTTCGTATCACAGATGATGTGTCTGGGTTTAGATGGCAAAGATACCTGAGTGGTATCGCTTCTCGTTGTGTGTGACACGGCGGTGCGTGCGCCGGTTGCGCGTGTGCTGACGGCTGCCGTCGCCACGAGGCCCGCGCGCAGCTGCCCCGCCCGCTGTCAACGCGTCACATCCAATGTACTCCACGGCCAAACCATCTAATCTAAACTTGCTATTGCCTAATGATCTTTAATGTAAAGTACCTACGACAGTGACGTTCCATATCTTATCAATACAGACTGGCACTGTGGTCATTGACTAGTACGGCATTAGAATCCGATCCGAAGGGATGCACAAACAGCCCAAGACAGTGAAGACACGACATAAAATCAAACATAACAATTTGGACTGATATCCCTCTTTTCAACAGTTATAAATAGATTTATGTTATTAGTTGTTTGTTCACTGAAGTTTTTTTATAGCCTTGATTGCACCACCGGACAAAACTGGAAGCCCTTAACCCGGGTTATAAGCAAAGTAGCGGACCTGAGACCATCCAGGTGCCTAGGTTCAGGACGCTACTGGATTCTTCCGCCATAAGGGCAAGCTATAGAAAGAATAGGCCCGGAACGTACCGGGGGTAATGCCTTAAGTACATTACAATCGAGAAACTAAAAAAAAAACCTTCATTCCTACTGCGTTATAGGCTCTTGGAATGTGCAGTGACAACAGCGTCATATCATCGCTGCGGTGCAAGCAAAACGATAAAGCAAACAAACCACTTGACATAGTTTCTTCAAGGCAACTCGTACGTAATAATATCTCAATATTGTTTCCTGGCTAAACCTCTTATCAAGTAGGTAAGTGTATACTTAGTACAAAAATACAATATATTTAGTAAATATATGGACTTAAAACAACACGCAGGTCAATTGTCGCCTTAAAACATAAGTAAACGGGAAAAAACTAAAATAAGTTGATAGTACTCGTATATGTCTAAGGTTGTGTAATGTTATTCAGTATTGTTTAACATAACACCTTGTAATTTATGGGAAATGAAACTATTTTCCTGATCTAAATCACCGTATGTTTATATTTTCCAACAAACCAACGATTATGACACTACAGGTCCCATAGTCGTGACCATTGATTTAAATCCGAAAAATAGTTGCATTTCCTATATGTAGCGAATGCGAAAACCTAATTAGTAAAGTAAGTAGTAGTAAAAGTAGTTAATACTTTAAAACAATAAAATACTTTGGCTACTTACATTACATCAAATTATTTAGTAGGACACAGACAAATGTCCGAAAAGAAGTACCATAACGCGTTTTAAAACAAAAAATATTTTTGCGTTTATATTTTTCATTACATTAACACAGTTATAATAATATATATCGAACATAGAAAATGAGGGAATTTAATTCGTTACACACGTACAGATACAGGGTCAGTGACCTGAACGATTATGCTTCTTATCAGGTTGCGCAATGCAGGCCGAAAACTTTGTTACCCGATCAATAAGGGTCCTATCATTTTTATATCAAAACGTTTTATACACTAGTTACTATTTACAAATGCTTTGAACGCATATGCGGTTGTCGAGTTAGTTTTCCATATGATTAGTAAAATTGTTTTATATTTTCCGCTGAGGACGCGATCGATTTACTTATTTCCGTTCTGAATTAGGCCAATCAACCACGTAAGTTTAAATTACTAATGAGCTCTACACACCAAACGTGGCGCAATGCCTCCATAAAGGGGCGTGGACATGGGTGTGGGTATCACTCATATCACTGCAGCTGTGATAATGATAACGATTACCAGCAAAAACCGTTCATATTAAAACATCGTCGCCGCCACACCGGGTGTCTTGACAACGTAATCTATGCAATTCAGCAGAGTGTAGTAAATAAAATCCTGATTTATAACTCTGTCTGGCTAATCACTAACAAGATTGTCAACAGATTTCGGAAGGTTTATTAGACGGTATGCGGTTAGGTTCATTATACTATTACGGACACCATTCCTGCTTGGCGGTGTGCAGCCACGAGGTGCAGTCAATTATGTATGGATGAAATTTAGAAGTTTTGCGTTCAAGAAAAAGAATGTTACCACAATAGCATTAGTATGCAAGATTCTAAATTTAAAAAAAAATTAAGTATCGTCAGTCAATCCATAAATAAAACAATCAATAGTGAAATTATCGATTTTCTCTGCGAAGTAGCCAATGGAAGCTTCATCGCTACGACGCGTGTTTCTATCATTACAAAGATTCTTGTCGGCGCGTATCGAATACTCTTTCTAAGCCCAGCTCTTTTTAAGCCCTTTTTATCGATATTAAAAAGCAACGGAAAACTCACTCAGTTTTCTAACTTTTTTATTTTCTTTTTTTTTTTCTTAAATACTTGTGTTTTTTTCTTAAATAATGTATTCACCAATTCATTATGCAATCTCAAGCAGTGCTAGGAATATAAATTTCTAATGAGGTGAATACGATATTTGATGTTGCCTGTAGGGCTAGCACGATAAAGAAGATTGACTGTCGTATCTTATGATATTTTTACTTATATGTAGCAAAACTGAGTTGCAGAGCTCCAAATTTGCTCTAATTGCTTTGTCTGCCAACGAAATAGACAAGGATATGGTACAGGTCCAAGTTGTAGCGTTCGGGGAATGCGCTGCAGGCAGGGTATTCTACTTCTTAGCCACTCGCCATATAATAAGTGGAAGCGAAACGCTTCGTGCGACTTATGAGTACCCACAACTTAGGGTGGAACCCCAGCCTGCGTCTAGTCCCCCGACTATGAAAGGGGAAGGCGGAATTAAATCATGAAGTTCCATCGCACACTCTCCGTGATGTATCCTACAGAATACCGATAAGCAGGCAACCTTACGGCGGTTTTCATTGCTCTGCAGCTTCGCTTCTTTGATTCCGAGCCAACCTCTTGCCACGTTTGTCGATTGAATCCAAGGTGGTCAGTTAGCATGTAGCAGAGTCATCCCATAGAAGGCAGTAGTACTCAATACAAGACCGGACTTGTGCTTGGTACAGCTGAAGCAACTGTCTCGGTGTGTGTGTCGGTGTACATTTCCCAATCTACCGACCCTGAGAGATAGGGTTTTCCGGAGAGACTACGCGCTCGACGACAAGACCAGGGTACGGCGAGCGTCCGGGCCAAGCCCTCCGCCAGTTACACGTCTTCACTTCGTCTCTGGCGGACCCGGATTTGATATGGGTTTGTGGTAAGTTGCAGAGACGAACGCGGTCGTCTGCCCCGGTAGGGTGTGATCGGGACGATCGGGGCGCTATAAACAAAACTTATGTAGAATGATATGGGACTGGTGTCCAGGTGTGAAGTAACGCCTCACATTGAAAAGGATGTTAAGCTTCCTGGCTGCATTTTTTGGCCATGGATTCTATGTATCTGTCGAACTTCAAATTGGATGACAGGTCCTTTCCAAGTAGCTGAAGACTGTCGGCTATCGGTATCGATATATCACGAAAAGTCGGAGTCAGGTCAAAGGAACTCCGTTTTGTGGAGAACAGACACGCCCTGCGTTTTGATTAACAATAATTTGACAAGATTGGCATCGCCCCAATCGGAGATTGCTTTAAGTGTGAAAATCTAAACAACTAACCATGGACTTTCGTCAAGACTCGATTTCTTCTCTACTGACCCTTGCATTGGTCAAGTACCTTTCCTCAACAGTCGCGCCACTGCAGCGCTTCTACAAGCGGCCAAAGAGTTAATAGGCGTTTCAGAGCGTGCACATTAACACAAGCAATACACGAAAATAAGGTACAATTTATACCACCCGTAACCGTAACCGAAAAAAATAAATAATTGCGAATCGTCTACGCATACATATTCGAATCGTCTACGCATACATATTCGGAACAATTTTGCATGCGTTGAAATGTCAATAATGGTTAAGTGTTGCGTTTCCCGATGACAATACAAAAAACAAATACAGAAATGGCAGGATAAATTATCATCATCAGTCAACTGCAGTTTGATGCAAGACATTTTGTGTTCTACCTACCACATTTTATAAATTGATTGCAATGCTCTTGATACTGTGGTATTAAGGATTAATATAAGTTGGACGTATGATCCATAGTACAAAAGTTTCAAATACGGGAGCTAAACACAACTTTGTACTTGTTATGGTGTCTTTTGCAACAAACTTACTATGGACTATTACTACTACACACACCTCAAAACCTGGTCTCCCGATTATGCAATTGATAAAAAATAAACAACTAGTATGTAACGCTTAACAGATGTATTGCACATCACTACAAAATCGTATCTGCCCACTATCGTCGTTCCGCGTATAGTCGACCAACTGACAGATTGAGTAAAAGTCCAGTTACACGACACGAAAGTTTTCGCGCGGCGGCCGCGCGTCGACCGCCCCATTGCCACGCTTACATGTAGGTATATTAATGGCGAATCTGAATTCTATTTACTAGAGTACACTATTTAAATTCCTCTGAATAATAATAGGGGTTAAAGTATGAAATTGCCGATTTGTACTGAAAATCTAAATTGTTTATTTTTTAAATTTTTAACAAATTTATTTAATCAAAATAGTTGCCATTATTATCTATACATTGCTGCCATCTAATGGGAAGGTTATTAATGCCTTTGCGATAGAACTCCGACGATCTAGACTGCACAAACTGTGTGAAAGCATTTTGTACTGCCTCCCGGGAAGAAAACTTCTTGTCACGTAGATAATTGTCCAAATCACGAAAAAAATGGTAGTCCGTTGGAGCAAGGTCTGGTGAATACGGAGGATGACGAATGGTTTCTAACTGCAGTTCCTGAAGGGTCAAAATGGTTTCTCGCGCTGTGTGAGGTCTCGCGTTGTCGTGGAGCAATAATGGTGAAGATCGATTCATGAGTCGGGGCTGTTTTACTGCTAGTTTTGTCAACATGGTTCGGAGTTCGGACAATAGACATCTGCCGTTATTGCTTGACCAGATCGGAGAAAACTATAGTGAATAACACCATGCTGAGACCACCAAACAGTTACCATTACCTTTTTATTGGTAAGTTTTGCTTTAGGACACTGTTGTGGCATTTGACCTGGGGTCAGCCATTGCATTTTTCTTTTCCGGTTATCATAAAGAATCCACTTTTCATCACATGTTACAATTCGATCC